TTCTCTGCTGCACCCTGGAGCTGTGCCGTTTGAAAAGTTTATTTGACTTGGCTTTGTACAGGGAGAGGTTTGGGCTGTAAGCATAAGGGGACTTTGTACAATAGTTTGCATTGCCTCTTGTAAAGTTTTTTTTAGTGGTGTCTGTACCTAGTTTAGCACGGCCACCTGACCGTGTTAATGTTTTAACGTACACAGATGTCCCCTGTGTGGCACAGGTTAAGAAGTGTAAATGAAGCCAGTATTAATTCCAGAACACACTGTCTCAGCAGTCAAGGTGCTGCTCACTAAAGCAGACGCCTTTCTGTCTCCCTTTTAGAAGTATATGGTGTATGGACATAGACCCTTTAGGGGCACGCAGCTTTCGGAAGACGTTTACCCCGTCTCCTGCCTGTGTGAGCCACATGGTTCATAGCTAAAGTGGGAAAGAGTGAACAATCCCCATGATTGCAAAACAGTTTCAACATGGCACAAGAGCCAAGTCTTTGACAATGTATTACACTGACAAGGTGTTGCACTAGATTTCTGTTGAGCACTGAAGGCTGAACTTGCAACTGAACTGGATAAATGGCTGTTAAGCCTTAATGCAATCAGTGGGTGAACAGGGACAAGACATTTCCTTCACTTTAGACCTGCTCATGGAAACTGGCTATGAGGAATGGTATGTCATTCAGTTGCCAGATAGTGTGATTTGGGTGGGGGGTTGGAGAGAGGGACGCATCAACCTGTAGCAGAGCTACTGTTTGAAAAATGGGCCAGTTTTTCCACCTATTGACAGCACAGCCATGAAACTGGAATGCAGAATATCAGAGGCAAGTTTCTCAGACATGCCAGCGCAGGTGTTTTATAATAGCTCAGTAAACTAGCCTGTCCTTGTCAGTGTCTGGAAACAAGTCTAGCATGCATATTGACGTTCAGAACATACAGGAAAGGAGAAAAAATCATCTCTATGGCTCCTTGGATCAACACCACCCAGTGAGTGGGACATGAAGCTTCACGGCAAGAAGCTAGACCCTGTGGGGTTCTCTAACTCTCCATCTATGGCATGTTCTTCAGGGTCTCCCCTTAGAGGTGGTAGGAAAGCATCACAGAGGGCAGGGTAGGTGAAGGGTTAGGATAGCTTCTGCAAATTGGGGTAAGATGCTGATGAGAAAGAGCCCTAATGTAGCCATTTTTTAACCTGAAGGGTCCTTCCCCTTCTTTTTTGCAGCTTTACAGGATTGTCCCTAATTTTGTAGCATCTGCTTTCAGGACTTTGCACTCTGGCCAACACCTTTCTGGCTGAGAGGCATTGTCCCAACTCTTGCAAGAGCTGTTTGGCAACAGCCTGGCCAGGTGTAACTTAAGACACTTCCCTCCCCTCCCCTGGAGCTCAGCATGCTACCTCTGCAGCAGATGGATAACTTGAGTCTCCCCTGCTGGGTGTCAGCTGCCATTTGGAATTCACACTCCAGCCCGAGTCTTTTAGAACAGAGAAGATGACAGCACTGGGGAGGGGGGAAAGAGTGTTTATAAATTTTTATTTATTTTTTTAAAAATAACGTATTTCATTTCGTGGTGTGTGTACTTGTTTCTTTAGGTTAAGTATTAGGCAGAGACAGACAATGTGAAACAGCTTTCCCTGGCGGCCTTGTGAAGCAGGACAGGAGTGTAACAGCTGGGAAAAGGGGGCCCTAAGAATCGAAATGCTTGGCGCGCTAGTGCCCATCAAATGCACACATACATTCTAACACTTGGTTTGGATTAACATCTAAGATTACTGAGAGATACAATTTCAGCACTTAAATATACAAACTGAAATCCAAGCACTTGAACACGATTCTTAACTCTAAGTTCAAAGTTATTGCACATAAGACATTTTAATATATTTCAGGCTACACGCTGTTGCTCCTCTCTGAACTTTGTTAGTCAGTTTCTTTCATTAAGCATATAATTAAAAAACAAAATGAACATGTTTTGAACACCTTCAAAATACTTATCTGTTAGTGGTTTTAATATACATAGCTCTCAATCGCCAGTGAGCTAATCGCCAGTTTGGAGGAGAAGAGAGAAAGAGATGGATAAAAGGTTTAAAGCCACGGCACTACATTTTGTAGTGACAGGGCAGTTCCCTAGTAAAAGAGAAGTGTATGGGAAAGATCCACAGGAAGCTTGAATGCAAAAACACAGAGAATGATCAGCCACACTTGAAAAGCCTACAGCTGAGCCAGTGCCCTCCACGGGCCTTAGGATTCCACCTGCCCACTTTGCATCGTCCCAGATCCCACCTCTCATTCTATTTACCTTGACCAGAAGGCTAAGACTCCTTTCCATGTCCAGCTACCCCATTCCTACTTTTCTGGGGGGAGAGGGTGTGTGCTGCTGTGCAATGCAAGGCCCTTCCTCTTCTGCTCAGAGTCTGAGCCTGGTTTTTCCAATGCCCTCCTAGTTCCTTCCATCTCTGGGGCTGAGAACCAGGACCAGGAATGGAAGCTAGGTCTTCTGCACAGCAGTGAAGAGCACTAGCCACAGGGTCAGACAGCCAGTCATGGACATCGCAATGGCTTAGTTCAGTCTTAAGGAAAAAAAACATTAACAAAACAAGTGTAGCTAGACATTTCCTCTCCTAACTCCCCTCCTGCCAGTGACACATTGTGCTAGCACAACTGCTTACTATGTGGGCAGGCGTGATGGTCAAGCTGCTTGCTAAATGATATAGCAGCTGATTCCTATGGGAATGGTGGTGGTGTCAATTAAACTAGAATCCCAACACACAGGTTGTTGTATTTACAACCAGGAAAAATTACAGTAGGGAGGGTATTTCTGTTGTTAAAATACCTTGTGTACACGTTAGCAGGTAGGTAGAGCTCTGGAAAGCAAAGGGCTGCAAATGATTTGTGTGTTTGTTCCTTTGTTTATATTTTGGCCTCTGCAGCTAAAGGAGGAGCTGACCTCTGCAGCAATATAGGTCTTGTTAGCAGAGGCAAACACCTCCAGTGGAGCTTTTCACTGCTGAACTGAATCCTAGCACAATCACTGCAGCCTTGAGCCTGGTTGAGACTGAAGGATGCCAATGCCTTAATAACTAGTCCAAAACTCAGAGGCAAGCCCCACCGTCTCGGGGGAAGGAGGGGCTCTACATGGCTACAGCGCTTCGGGATTAGAAAATTGCTTCTTTGATTCAAAAACATATTTACAGGTTATTAAACATGCACAACTGGAAGCAAATCCAGTACCAGACACAGGCAGGCATGAAGCAAACAAAAGAGACTGGACCAGCCCCAAAAGGCAATGACAACGGGAGGGATGTAAAAGTGAGCTTTTAGGAATGAAAGGTCAAGCGTGTGTTATGGCTTATGAGGGGATGCTGATGGGGAAAAAAATCCAATACAAAACACAAACTCTAAGAAAAACAGAACATTTCAAGTAGCGCACTGACTGAGAAGGTCATCCCCTTCGGGAGTGGCACATTCAACTACAGTGTCCCCTTATCGGTCATGGTCAATTATTCTTTCCTCAGAAGATCAGGAGAAATAGCTGAATAAAGGGGGATAAGCTGTCTCTGTGTATTTATTAGAGAGAGATTGGGCGAAAAGGAATGTAAAGCGTTCCACACAGCAAGGTGCATTTATTATCACAGCTAGCTACATAACAGTGTTCTCTAATATGGTATCATTGCAAGCATGTTACTTGGGTTTACTGGGATTTTAGATTTTTTAATATTTTTTTTAGGAATATGCAGTAGCACACTGAGCTTCTGGTTCAGCCTTTTAGACTTAATGTCACATAAGATCTGAAATGCCCAACGTAAGCCACGCTGGCTACCGCTGTTTTACCACACACCCACACCCACTCTCTCTCTCTCTCTCTGCACTGGGGCACGTTTACACTGCACACACACATGCACAGACTTTCAAGGCACACACCCATATGCCCACAGGGCCACACATACAATATCAGCATCTGATTGCTGGGGGCCATTCCATCAAACTGAAATTAACATAGCTTGGGTCGAATCCAGCTTCCAGTTAAGTTACTGGCAAAATTTACATTGACGTCATGGGAATAGGATTAAGCCCCTTATTTGTGTGTGTGCTCATTGTAAGTATCTCCATCAAAAAAAGTGAACCAACCTTCTTAAGCCAACAGCAGACACCCAGTTTGCGATCATGGAGGCTGCACTGAAAATAGGGGGTGGGTGGCTTGTCCGTGAGTGGGGAGATGGCTTTTCTTTCACTGAAGGAATGTCATTTTCATCTTCAGTTGCACTGTGTCCCCATGCTCCTCACCAAGTTGCTTCCTATGCCCCACTAACCTACTCTTCCTGCCTTTAAATACGTGTTCTTGGGGAACTGGTTCTTCTGTATTAAAACCTAAAGCATTGGCTTTTCCAGCTCATCAGAGCTTCTCAATCGTCCAGTGACTAACAGAACATTCAAAAGTGACCAAAAATACCTCAGCCCAACCCCCTGATGGGCACACAAACTGAATAGAAAGAAACTAGGTGCTTTCCAGAGAGAGCAATGACAAAAAACTCTGGTACGTGCATTGTTCACATTCAGTAAGTGCCTTGTCTCCTGGAGGGGAAGGAAAGTGCTCTACTTCTTACAAAGAAACTGACCTTTCAGACTTTGTTTCCCCTTTTCTGGCAGGGTGAAGGTGGCAGAATACTCCCACGAACAGGGAAAGATGCGAACTGGAGCTATGTTGCCACTAGTCCCTCATCTCATCTTCTGCTACATGGAGGCTTTCTGGGACTGATAATGGAAATTGTGGCTGGAATTACACAATGGTTTCAAGAAGCTGAATGGGCAGCCTTATAGCCAGTTCTACTGGTCTGAGCAGCTCCCAGCTTTGCAAAGAGTAGAACACGGGAAGGAGTTTTCTGAAGCCCACAACACATCTCACTTACACACACACACACAAAATTCTAATCAATGCTTTGGACAAGACAAAGCTGCAGTCTATGTGATCACCCATTGTCACTGAACCCTCCTCTTCCCCTCCCCCCCCCCCCCCCCAATAACTAATAAATGGACCTGACACCACCAATACATTTCACCTGGCCCCATTAATGGGTATCATATAGCAATGGCTTTTGGGCACTACCAATCTGAGTCAGGTACCAGCCAAGCTTTCAGGTTTTCATAGGACAGCATGTGCTTATCTGATCCTGTTAGTTCATGGTTTGTCCCGCCTGTACCAGCTGCAAGGTACGCTTTCTCCAAGACCATTGACTGCTAGAAGCTGGCACTGGACATCAGGGGATGGATGGGAAGGAAGCAGGTACAGAGCAGGTTTTCTTGGGCTCTTATTGTAATGAGTCTGTCAATGCAGTTTGTTTTTTCATCATGCAAGGTCAAAAAGATTATTAAAATCATTGATCAAAACTTTGCTCCATAATTAAAATGGTCTGCAAGTCTAAGTGTCTGATCCCCTTTTCGGTGCCACTAGAAGATGCAGAATTAATTCATGACCAATCTTTTTGGCAAACAGCTTCAATACCCCTTTTGGTTTTAAGGTAGCTGAGCAAGCCACAGGTGCCTAAACAGTCATTGACCTACCACTAGAGCATTGCTTTCAACAGCAAGATGCAATATCCTTATAGGTTAATTTCCCCCAAGAAACAGGAACCTCAAACAGGCCCAAGGACAATTCCGTCTCACCCACACTGGGTACAGCCCTGCATTTGGACTGTGGCAGTACAATTCTTCACCTAAACTTGAGGCGAGTGAAGGACTGCATGCTAGTACAGCCTGTCATTCAAACCATGGCAGTGCATGTGCTACAATGCAGACTGGGAAACGCTCCTGTGATTTTCCGAGGTGTTTGCAGTGTGCAACTGCTAAAGTCAGTGGTGAGCTAGCTCAGCAGCCAGATTTCTATAACAAGCTATTAATTACTGGTGGGTATTTTTACTCAGTGGTTAACATGGCTGTGAATATGCATGTGGGTATGGATATGTGTGAGCATGTGCACACTAGGGGGGGTGTGCCCATGGGCTGAAATATTTATCAGTACAGACCTAAAAGTGGAACAAAAAACCCCAACTGAACCAACACTGCAGACTGCTTTTTACTTTTGCTTTGCTACAGTGGTGCTTTCAGCTATATTGGGAGAATGCAGGGTGTCCCTGGGGCATTGTAAATAGCACTCCAAGCATCCACACATACATACATGCGCACACACTTTTTCTACTATAGTAAGTTACATTCAACTGTGTTTCCTGATCATCTCATTAAGCTGCTCATCTCCTTCGAGTTTGACTGCTGTCACGCCTTGCTGCCAGCATCCCGACCAAACTGTGCTCTTCTCCGCTTCTACCATATGTAGCCTCCATCGTCTGCCTCTCCCTCCTCTTCTTCAGCCTCTTCTCCAGCTTCCTCAGTCTCTTTCTCTTCCTCATCCTCCCATCCAACGCCACTCCCAAAATCCCCCGAGAACCCAACTATGTCATCTACAACAACAAGACAGCGCGAGTTAGGGAAATCACTCAGTTGGGAGCCCAGCGTACCTCACAACATTCTGCTGTAGGCTGAGAGAGGGAGCCAGCTAGATTAAAGCTAGCTTGGGGGTGTCTACTTGAGTTGCCTGCGATTACAGTGTAGACATACCCACAAATGAGTGTTTGCAAACTCAGCCCTGCCCAGTTCTAACAATGCGACCCATTCTTCCCCAGTGGTGGCCCTTCTATCCCAGCACCAGGCCTTGACATAGCTCTCCCAGTGTACCTCTGTCCTCATCAACATCCCTGCTATCCCAATCTGAGGTACTCCTCAAGCACCATCCTCTGGTCAGGACAAACTGTGCCAAAGTGGGTAAAGGTTTTACAATGTAAATGAACATCCATTAGGGACTAGGATGAGGTTTGTTTTCATTTGCTATGACCTAACCTCACATCTGTTGGGCTCAATGCAGGAATCATTGGAGGAGGCCCTATGGCCTGTGCCAGGTGATCACGATGGGTCCCTGTGGCCTTAAAGATCTATGAATCCGAATCCAAATTTCCTGAGTTCTTAACATTCAGGCATAGGCTTTGGTGACCCTTTGGGTGCAGGCTTTGCAGGCGTGCTTGCTCTACATGGCTCCTGTGATAGTGACTTGCCTCTTCTTGAAGCAACCACGCAGCCAAAGCTGCTCCTCTGTGATGCAATGCTCATTCATTGCCAAGTCAGATGGACATGAATACTCCCCCCTCCTCCCTCCAGTGTCCTTACCACAGTCCGGGTTTCCACGTATCCGTGTTCCTGTCAGCTCCATGCCAAGCTGGTCAACACACCAGCACTCCCCACTGCTCTGGTCACACTGCATCTTCCTGTAGTATCCATCTTCATCGCAGCTTGGAATGAAAACACCTGGGGAAAAATGACAGGAGTCTCCAAAATTGGGCCCAGTGTGAGAACAGGAAATCTACAGTATAATAGCTACTGCTGCATTTGAAACATGGAGATGGACTCAGCTGTTCTAAAAAGAGTTACTGAACAAACGTCTCAGAAATCCAGCAACCTGCAGTGGACGCTGCCTCACAAGAAGGTGAAATACCAGGAGCATGCACAAAGGGGCAGGTCACAGAGTGCATTTATCAGAAGTTCAGGGGAAGAGCTCACAAAGCAAGAATGTCACAGCTGCATACAACTTATAACAAGGTCTCAGATGAGTCCAACAGTAACTCAGAGTAACATCTAATGCATCACAGTGAGAAATATCATACTGGGATTCTGAGGTGGGTAATATCTCAACTACAGGGAGGTAAAGGGGTCGGGACAGATATCAACTCTGCTCAGAAGGAATGTGAAGGGCGAGAGAACTTCACAACCATGATTAACCCAACATGGTTAGCAATGCCAAGCCCAGGGGCCAGAAGCTGTGCCAGGACTAGATCCTGCTACAAGGAGAAGTCCATCCCATCCACCATTACTGGGAAGTTCACATGGCTCATGACTCACCAGGTTTCTTTTTTGCTGCTTCTTGGATCTGGATCCTTTCCAGCTCCACGAGACAGGGGGGCTCTGTAATACCCAAAGCAAACACTTCTTAGAGCTAAGTGGGCATCTCAGCACGCATATCTGTTTTTATTTAGGGAGGACTCCTCCTTCAGAGATGGCCAGGGGATTGGTGGTGAACGGAGGATGAGGATCGCCTTAAATTGGTCAGAAGAACCAGGTTTGCTCAATCTCTCTCCTCATCCAACCCCACTCCTCCCAGCTTCCTTTATGTGCTAATCAGGGAGCCCCTCCCCGCCCCCCACCCCGGCCAGTGGAATCTAGAGCCTTGGACACAGTCAGGCTCTTAGTTAACTTCCTCACGGTCTCACTCCGTTAGAATGACACATTCTGAAGAAGTGGCTCTTCTGTCAAGATCTTCCCATTCATCATCAGTGCCTCACCCAGTTCATTGTATAATGCGGGGCTGTCCTCATATTGGACTTCAATGGAAATGTTAGGTAGGATGACTGTTTTCTAAGTACATTCTGCTCTTTATTGCCCTTTATATTTATTTATAGCAGTATATATATTACTGTAGCCCCTTGTCTGGCATCTGGCTGCCTCACTGCTTTTTAACCAGAAAGTGGCTCTCAAACTTTTTTACTGGTGACCCCTTTCACATAGCAAGTCTCTGAGTGCGACCCCCATTATAAATTAAAAACACTTTTTTATATATTTAACACCATTATAAATGCTGGTGGCAAAGTGGTTGGGGTGGAGGTTGACAGCTCGCGACCCCCCCATGTAATAACCTAGCGACCCCCTGAAGGGTCCCGACCCCCAGTTTGAGAACCCCTGGGCTAGAGCAATATCTACTGTCACTGCCTGGGAATCACTCCACGCTGCCATCCTGAAATTCAGTTAATAGCCTGTCTGAACAGATGTGCCTTACAGTAGGCCCTGAACGTGACCAAAGCCTGGCTCTGGTGAACTGTCAGAGGAAGTCAGTACAAAAGGTAGGAGCCTTTTCTGAAAATACCCTAGGTCAGGGGTGGCCAACTTGTGGCTCCAGAGCCACATGCGGCTCTTCAGAAGTTAATATGCGGCTCCTTGTATAGGCACCGACTCCGGGGCTGGAGCTACAGGCGCCAACTTTCCAATGTGTCGGGGGGGGGTGCTCACTGCTCAACCCCTGGCTCTGCCACAGGCCCTGCCCCCACTCCACCCCTTCCTGCCCCCTCCCCTGAGCCTGCCGTGCCCTCGTTCCTCCCCCTTCGCCCCCAGAGCCTCCAGCACATCAAGGAACAGCAGATCGGGAGGTGCAGGGAGGGAGGAAGAGGCACTGATTGGCAGGGCTGCCAGTAGGTGGGAGGCGCTGGGAGCTGGTGGGGGAGCTGATGGGGGACTTCTGGCATATTATTGTGGCTCTTTGGCAATGTACATGGGTAAATTCTGGCTCCTTCTCAGGCTCAGATTTCTGCCCTAGAGATTTCTGTCCTGGGACCTGACAGCAGAGGCACCCCAGGTGACCTTACCTGCTGGAATGGGACACAGTAGGAGGGAGTTTCTGTAATCTGATGTCTTAAGAAAGCCAAACCAGCTGGGGCTTTACAGAAGCAGGTAGACATTTTGTGAGGTTACTGACTCTTGGATAGCCATATAGAATTGCTGACTGAAAAGCCCATACAAAACAGCACTCTCTCTAAAGGAAACCTGGTGACGACGCACTTTCTCTCCAGAAGCAGAAGCACCATTCGGCAGTGGAGACGTGGCCGTCCTTATAGGTGTCACAGGAGTTGAAGAAGGGCCGGATGCAAATCTCATACTTGTCTAGGTTGATAGCTGCGAGCTCTGTCTGGTCCAGGAAAAGGTCATTGTTTGTGTCCAGCTTGGAAAACATCCAGCCAATGGAATCCTTGCAACTGGCCACCAGGCTCTTGTCCAGCACTGTGAGCAAACCGAGGGAATGCAGGAGAAAGAGAGGGAACAGCAGAGAGAGAGGAGCGAGAGTCAAATCAAAAGTGCCTTTATCCCCTCACCCACACCACCACCATGCACACAGGTACTGTCAGATGGCAGTGTCTCCTGGAAGGGTGGATTGTTAGCAATGGTCAAACTCACCGGCTGAATTGTGTGCGTAACCACGGGATTCAGGACAGAAAATAAAAGGGAGAAAAATGAAGACTGGGGACTGTCCTGGGATAGAGGGTTTCCTTGTCAGAGAGTCTGCAAAATCATTTAGGCTTTATCAGCTGAAGTGCTTCTCCTGCTTCTCACCCAAGAACAGCACCCCCTTGCTGTGTCCTTTCTGTGTCAGAGTGAATGGCGTGCTGGCATGAGGTGCCAGACTGGGGCAAACAGGCTGCTACGCACCCTTTATTTTCAGAGGCCAGGCCAATTTTGTCATGAATGCTTCCTTTTGAGGGCTGGTGAAATGCCCTGACCTTGTGACAGTGCCCTGACATGAAGCCATGACGCTGATGTGGCCTAAGGAACCAGGACATTGGGATGGAATGGATCTCTGCTGCAGGACAAATTTATACAGGGTGAAGGAGGTCAGGAAGAACTACAGGGAGGATCACAGGGCATAAAAGCTGAGCTCTGCAGCGTCTGAGCGCTTCACCCGATGAGTCCTGCACTGTTGTGAACTGTAATCCCTGCCAGCTACACACAGATCGCACAGCATAGAGGATTGTTAAGCTGTGTCTCTGGGCAACACTCTTCAAACCCGGCTTCCCTTTCCCTATTCACAGAGGGTACAAAGCAGCTGCCAGTTTGGCTCTGGATGGACTTCCTAGCAGCTGGAGAAAACAAACATGGCCCATGGTTCTGATTATCAGAGCTGAAGGAGGAAAGCTCACGGGAAGGGGTGGCAGAGAAGTGTCTGCCTCAAACACAGCTCCTACTGCTGATTTCATCAAACAAATTCCCCCCAAGGAGCAATCAGCTCAGAGATTTTTGTTCACTGACATTTAAACTAACCAGATTCCTCCAGGCTGAGCTCACTTTACACTCCACATGTGCTTCCGGACCAGGGAGGTACTTCGTTTTAATAGGCACACTGAAGTGTTTGCCTTGCTTGTGCTCACAGCAATTGGCAGAGCTGATGGGCCATGCAGAGACCTCTCTCATTATTCTGCTTGACCAGTGCCTATCTAACACAATAATGGCTACAACCCCAACCAGCCAGGTTTCTGCACGGCCAACCTTTATTCAATCTTAAAAGTTACACAGTGGACACTTTCAGCCACTCAGAAAAGCTCTGTATGCATTAAAAATTATCATCTTTTTACCTGCATAGTAGGCCCTCGGATTGGCCATAACATACCACTGGGATAGTCTCAAAGCCAACCAGAATGCAGCAGGTTAATAATGGCACATGCAGTAAGATTTACTCCACTGCACCAAAATCCATCAGATAAAATGGTCTGATCACCACCCATCACTGGAATCATAAAGACATTTCAATAGAACATTGTCACAGGAGATTTATATTATCATTTCATTCACTGCCGAGATGTGGCTGCCTCCAGAGTGGAATATGGGAGCTGTTTAGCAAAGCACAGCAGTACTACACAACAGTTCAGCCTAGGATTTCAGTATCCCACTGAAACTAGAGGGAGTTCAGGTAGGCAGAATGAAATTATCCAGGCTGGAATCTGACTGGAGCTCCTGGGATGACATGCCTATTCTTACAAAAAGGATCTTTAATAACTACATGTGGTCAGGAGCCTGCTTTGAGATCTTAAAAACAGCAACACAAGGAACCCAATTTCCAACTAGCCCCATGCTAGAACATTGGTCCTGCACTGACTCAAAAGGAAGGATATCAGCCCCACTTCCTGTAGCACCTAGATGTTCTATGGAGTTTTCCCTGCCAAATTCAGTCCTGATCCAACCCTGCTTACAGCAGCAGGTCTCGTAAGGTCACAGCACAAGGCTGTCCAACAACAAGGTATGGGTCCTATCTGAAAATGCACCAGCTTCATCTTGGTATTTATATAACACATTGACCTTATCCTGGGACAACGTTCTCTCCCCGAGATTATGAGCCAGATTCTCTGGCCACCAAGTTCCCTATGTGGTGCACAGTGAATGTAAAACAGCTGGAGATTCCCCCTGGATGTGTGTAGGGGGACTCTCCACCAGAATAAAGCTAGAGCAGTCAGCTCCACCGTGTCTCTTGCACTGGAAACCTCTGCCCCAGTGTAAGGGGAAGGAGAAGTGTGTCAGGTGGGGAAGGGGAGTAGAGGAGTTACGATCCGTTTTGCCCAGTTCTCCATAGGTGGAAGGCACCTGAGGGATCCTACCCCCTGCAGCTTTAACTGATGCTGGTGCCAAGCAACTGAAAATTAGGGAGCTGCAATTGGCTCCCTGATAGACTCCCTCTCCACTGTACCTGAGCAGAGCATGGGCACAGTGGAGAATCAAGACAACCACACACACCCCTCCATGCATCTTGCACTGGAACCCATTCACCCAACCCTCCCTGCTGGATACTTCTCAGCCCTGTGGGTTTCATCAGCAGCTTGCAATCTCCCATCTTAGTGTGGCACATCTGTTGTCTCTGGGCTATCAGCTATGAGGCTGATGTCAGGGAAAGCAGCACTGTGACTGCACCTTACTGTGTCTTGTTTCCCCATCTGCCCCCAGGACACTGACATCTCCCACAAGCCCTGCCTGCCTCTGTCACGTAGGCCCCTCACCAAAATGCACATGACATCAGTAGGTCTCATTTGAGCTTGGCTGATCTAGATTAAGGGCATAGGTTGTGAAAAAGGTACCCAGCATGTCAAACATGTCTCATGCTAATGGACATACGTGGCATGTCAGACAGCTGTCCTGAATGGAACGATCCACTGGAAATTCAGAACACTGTCATCAGTGAATGCGTCTTGCAGCATAGGACTCCCACAGCCCACCTGAAAGCCTTTTAGACATGTCAGCAAGCACACATGGGCCAAGCCTGCTCCAGAATTCATGTGCCAGGCCACTGGTAATTTTGCTCTCCCAGTCCAATAATCTATGCTCCCTTTGGGGAGGAAACATCGCATCATTTGCATTAGGCCTGATTTAGGAATAAAGAAATGGAGATCCAATACCCAAGTCTTGGCCCAGCTCCTCAGCTGATGTAAATTGGAATAGCTCTGTTGAAGCCAAGGGTACTACACTGATTTACACCAGCTAGGAATCTGGCCCCATGTCACCACTGACAGCATCAGGGAATTCACCCACTGTGGCTGTAGCCCTGATGCAGCTCCACTGTTGGCAGCACTGCATAGACAATTTGCTGGCAGACACAGACGTTGAAGCACTGGGCCACGTAGATGTATTAGAAGCAAAGTTAGACCATGGGATGCTTCAAACACTGGGGGCTGCCTGGAGTCCCATTGTCACTAGCACTCCCGCTGCCACTATAACCAGGAGAGCTGGACTGGTGGAAGCAACGGTGGGAGATTCGGGGCAGAAAAGCCTAGTGCATCCATGTCCTGGAGTGACTGGTTTATGCCCCGAAGCAGGATGATTAATGTCCCTTATATATTTTTATCCTGGCTAATGAAACCATGGAGGAAATTCTGATTACATAGCTCAATATCTATTCCTTGTTTGAGCCCTACTAAGTTCTTCTCTTCAAAATACATTGTGGCAGTGAGTTCCACAGATTAACTAGGTGTTGTGTAAAAAAGGATGTATTTTTATCAGTTTTAGATTTGTTGCCTTTTCAATTAATTGAAGGCTCCCTTGTTCTTGAATTATGAGAAAGGTCAAAAAGTAAAGATGGGCCAGTGGAGGGAAAGGGTGTGCCGGGGCTATGGGTCTAGTCTGAGAGTGGGGTTCTACTTCCAGTTGTGCCACAGACTTCCTGTGTGACCATGGGTAAGTCATTTAGCCTTTCTGTGCCTCAATCCCCATCTGTAAAACAGGGTTAATAGCACTCACTTACTTCATAGAGGTGTTGTGAGGAGAAATATATCATAGACTGAAGTGCTCAGATAGTGCATCACCTTCTTTATACCATATTTACTGTTTGTTATTATATACCTCTAACAACAGCCTCTTTATTTGCCTTTTCTAAAGGAAATCATCCCAATCTATGTGCTTCCCCCTTATGGCGAGGAAAGTCTAATTATTTATATGGCCTTTCTCTGGACCCTCCTTTTTCTGCTGTGTTCTTTTTGAGATAGGGTGATACTGTATAAAAGATATGCCTGTGTGACCATTAAACTAGTGACAACAATAAGAGGCAAGAGAAGCAGGTGTCTGGACACTTAGCAGTTATATGGTGGGATAGTAGCTATGCAGTGAGCTATAAGGGGCAAAGGTTCAATTGCAGTGCCGCAATATGAGAAATCCTAGACCATATTAATCGTGGTCTGCATTTCAGCCACTCTGCCACAGAGGCAGGAAGAATGGAACTAATGGACACTGAACTTAGCAAACTGAAATGCATGCACCAGACCTGACTGCACTGAGCAGTCTCCACCACTCTGCAGACCTTTGTTCCCGTCTCATCACAACCAGTATGAGGGAGAGGGGTTTGCGTGTCCACAAATGACAGATGTGCATTTTCCGTACCATTCACTGGATTGGCCCCTGGGTTTCCAGAACTGTTCTGCTTGGAGTTCTCACGTAGGAGCTGGAACCAGTCCCGCAGACGGTCTCCCAGGTCGGCTAAGTCCTGCCCGGTACAAGTCTCTGGAAATTAAATGGCGAACTATTAAACAAGCATCCCAGCCACCGGCAAGGGCTGGGAGGATGGAAATGGATGCCAGGATTGGATAGCTAGGGTAGTTACCTACATGGGGCACAAACGTGGCTTCGGGAGCATGGAAACAGATGTACCCACAATTTCTGGGGATGGTGATAGAGGAGGCCTGTTGTCATAGTCTCAAGGGTGGAGAGAAGTAAAAGGAGAAAGATGGGTAGGCAGTCCCAAAAGATCTCCCCTAATGCACTCCTCCAGCTAGTGATCCCCCAGCAACCAGCACTCTTCCAATCTTCACTGGCACCACCATCCTCACGCCTTCCCCAGGTTTCTGGGCTGGGGTCTCAGCCTGCCCTTGGATGACTTCTCTCTCTTGGCTCCTTTTCTCCACAGCTGTTCTATGCTTTGTTGTGCCTAGATCTTCTGCCATATAAGAGATCACTCTGCTGCAGAGTTAAGAAACAAACTCCAGCTCTATTAGGGCTGCTTACAACTAAGCTTCTTTGATCTCCTGGCTTCTCAGACAGGTCCCCAGGAGGTGTCTCACCAAACAGTTCCCTCCAGAAAACAGTATGCTGCCTGAACGTGTCTGCTGGCACTTCCGTATTGCTACAACATCGTCCATCTCATTGGGCTCCTGTCTGTACTGTCCCTGGTGCGCTCATCTTTTCTCCTCTCTCATTCTCTCTTGCCACCCCTTTGATTTCCATTCTTTTCTCCTTCTTCCTGCTTTGTGCCTTCACTTCTTGCTCTCCCTTCTGTCTCTGTTATACTCCCTCTCCCTACTACAGGCTCTGTCTTTAGAGTCAAGACAGCTCCACCTGCATTATTCTTTGTGTCCTCCCCTCCCCATCACAGGACATGCACTTTGCTTATTTATTTTATATCCAAGGGGAATAAAACAAACTAGGTAGCAGCTTCTCTCTTACCTTGTTTGACATCTGTGGTTGAAGTGGGGCCATGCTCGGTCGGGCAGGGGCACTGGCCCTCACATTTCACTGCCAGCTGCTTGCTGGTCAGGCAGGCTTGCTGCTCCAGTTTGCACTGAGAGAAGGAGCAGGAAGAGTCAGTGCAATAAGCACGATCCCGCTCTGAGTACTCCGCAACTCACACCACCCAAACCACGTTTGATTCTTGGATGGCAAAAGAAACTCCAATCAATCCCCTGGGTAACAAGTATGTTCCCAGCTGAGTGCAAAGCCTCACCAGTTACAGGTGTGAGAGCAAGGAGTCGACCCACCACCTCCAGAATATGCATAACCAAGAAGGGGCCCCAATAGAAATGTGCTCTTCTGAGTTTCATGTTTCCACACTCCCCAGGGATCATTCCAAAAAGCAAGGCCCCATACATAGGGTCAGTCCATTCCACTGATCTTGCAACTACTTTTGTGTAACCTTTTCAAGCAAGCCCAAGTCCAGGAGCAGAAGAGGTCTCTGAAGGGACCACCTTCTACCCAATCAGCAATATCGTCTATACAGAACCATATAGGCCAGATCTTTCCAACCAACCTTGCTTTCTGTTATTTCATCCCCACTCTAACTAGCAGGCGCGTGGTTCTGAGCTCCCTAAGTACAGTGGGTTTCTTGCAGCCCTGCTAAATCAGGGTGCAGAGGAGGGGATAGAATATACCCACTTAGAAATCTGTGAGGAAGCGCATGCACTTTTCTGGCAGCTCTGAAAGCTGAGCATAACGGCTTAACTAATACAGATTCCCATCTTCTAGTTACCAGATCTACAGGCAACAAAACGAGGTCGGCACAGCTTTCCCAAACGAGCTGTGATTCACTACTGAGCCATGCTGCCCTGTAAAGCTTTGGTGTACTGTACACAATGCACAGTATATCCGCTGCTAATGTTACCACCACAGCACCGTGCAGAATCCAGCACCGAGTGATACCATGTCCCCAGCTTGAGCTCACGTCACCCCTCCCGGTACTCCCCTCATGGACAACTGAGCCTAATTCCTCAGTCACTCCTGTGCCTCAGCACCAAGCCCAGGGAGTGTGGCTAGGGGACTGTTGCAGATACAGTGAATACCAATGCAGACTTGAGCTGCACTATTATAGCTGGCTCTTCACTGGAAGCCATGAAGCACAGCAGCTCCCCAGAGCCAACTCTTTGACACCCACCCTCCTTATCAATATATGAGCCTTTTCTGCCCCACTCACCACAGAGCTGTAAGTGTGTCCATCAGAGCCGCAGACAGATGCGAGCTGGGTCATGTGACATGGTTTGCAAAAGCTTTCTTTGTTTCCATGGTGTTTCAGGGCAGGCTGCTTGATTCTATCCATGGGGGGCGGGGAGAGAGAGAGACAGAGAGATGGATAGGTGCTAGGTAGGTTCACCCACACCTCCTCACTTCCCAACAGAACTTGCTCAAGGCTTCTGCTCTTTGGTTCCCCAAAGAAATCCGTTATTCTTATTATTCTGTGGTAAATTGTTCTCACTTTGCAGGCCTGCAGGCAGCTGTTCACCCGCCTGTCAAACTGGGGGGAGGGGGGAAAGGAAGGCCGCTGTGAGGGGAAGGATGAAAGTGATCTTTGGAGCAACAGATTTAGAACGGAAGCCCAAGTGATACTGGAGTTGATTGTCTTACCTGGGTCTCAAGACTGCAAGGGAAGGCAGGTGGGAGGTGGCTCTCCAGTCCCAAGGGAACAATTGATAAAAGAGCAGAGAGAACAAGGCGATTCTTAAAGGCCACAGAAAAACAAATGGGGGAGACACCAACATTATAGGGTGCGATGGCAATGGGCTCAGGCAGGGCCAGTCTGCCTGAGGGGCCTGGTGGTAATCAGTGTCCCGTTAATGCAGTTCTGACTGCTGGGACTGGAACAAACCACCATCCCAAAGTACGATGGGAGGCAGGCTTTCTCCACTGCGGGCTGTTGGGATAACTAGGCCTACAACTTTACCTAATTGGAAGCTCAACTGTAAAAAGTGAGTGAAAGTTCATAAATTGTCACAGTGACCAGTTATATAAAATTGTTTAAGAAAAGATGTAAGAAGGAGCTGGAAAGAGTGCATTAATTAAACAGGAAAGGATTTAGTGATACCACTCAAGGGCTGTGTTAAGATTATCACTGGTAAATGAGGAGTAGAAGACCAGAAATCAGTGAACTAAAATTGGGGTCAGGAAATTAGGCCTATTTAGGGTGACCAGATGTCTCGATTTTATAGGGACAGTTCCGATTTTGGGGTCTTTTTCTTATATAGGCTCCTATTACCCCCCTGTCCCAATTTTTCACACTTGCTGTCTGGTCACCCTAGGCCTATTTATGGACAAAATGATAAGGATGGACTATCCTGCCCACCACTCCCCGCTTGGGGTCCTCAGAAAGAGACTTTGGGAGAGGGGGTGTCAAACTGGCTACTGTGATGCTGGATGGCTGAAAGAAGAGAGGAGGGGAAGGAATGAGTTTCACCATCATGGCTGCCAGCCCCATCGTCTCCTGGGACCCCAGACCTTCTTCATCCTAATCCTGAAAATTGTCCTGACCAGAGGGACCCAGATGACATCGCCACTTCCACTGGCTTCAGCTGAACTCCAAATACCACCTGGGATGTTAGACTTTGTCACCCTCTACCCATGTATGTTCTTTTCCTTCCCCACCATATTTCTTGTCTTCCCTATTTCTCTCCTTTTTCCTTCCGTCTATAAGAGTCTGGCTTAGATGACCAACAGGGTACATTTTGCAACACTGCTGTCAGCCTGTGATCAGAAAGAGGCAGCTAAATGTAATGCCCTGAACAGCCCGATGCTGGTACAAATTTGCCAAGTCTAAGACTGGCTGATAAGACCATGTATTGGGCCTGTGTTTCTACAGCAGAGAGGTTGCAAGCAAGAGTCAACACCAGTGACGGAAACTGCATTTTCTATCCTTGCTATTCTTTTCTCTCCCTTTGTGTGTGTTTGGTTTGTTTTGTCTTCTAGGAAATGGGATCAGACTGTAACAATAACAGAAACAACAGCTCCAGACCATCTTAACTAACTTCTCTTTTCCCCAAAAGGACAGTTATTACCATCTTTCATACGAACCCAAACTCTGTCAAACAAGAGGTTTTTCCTTCTAAAAATCTCTTCAGCTACAGAGAAAGGGAACAAGGAATGTTGCTAAAATGAAAGCCTTCATGTTTACATTCCAAAGGTTTTAACTGTTTCTCCTTCTTTTTTGTGTCTTTAATAAAAGGCTAACAGAATTTTTAATGGTTTGTTTGCCATGGAACCAATCAGGCTGAGGTCTTTGTGTACCAAACCCCGAACCTTGTTTAAAACTATTTAATGTTGGGCAGTGACTGGGTTATGTTAACACCTTTGGGCCCATATATTCCATTTCAATTAATACAATAGGGCATGTGACTCTGGGATCTCTCTTGCTTCCTGCTTGCCAGCCTATGCCTGAAGCGTTATTCTAGGCAAGGCCCAACACCTTTTTGTTTCCTATTTAGTTTGGAGGAGTAGGGTTTCTATTCCACTTCATGTGCTTTGCTGGCTATGGGGAACTTCCAGACATAGCACAAACACGCCAGTATTTTACTAGGCTATGTCTACACTTACTGCAGAGTACAGATGCTGCATACCCCCTAGCGCACACATAAATAGTAGTGTAAACGGTAAGGCACTGCTTAGTGAGGAGAGTAAAAACACACAAAAACCATAGGGTATATATCCTACATGGCTCATTACACGCACAAGCGGTGCTTCCCTGTCTACACTGCTATGTTTAACAGCGTAGTGTCTCAATGGCAGAGCCTTTCCCCACCACTGGGAAAAGCTCCAGCAGTGGGGAAAGCCTCTGGTGGGTGGATGCATCAGGGAAAGACTCCAGCAGATCCCTGCTGCCAGAGCCTTTCTTTTCTGCCTCCCTCCTGCCAGAGCCTTTCACTGAGGCATGTAGCTACATATCACAGTGTGGTCACAGCCTGCTTTTCGCTGTGGCATTTAGCTACATCCTGCCGCCAGTGTAGACAAGGCCTTTGAGTGCTGTTGGTAACTATTTCCGTTATGGCACCCAGGGCCCTTCAGGCATGCATTCATTGTTCTTAAGATCAAATCTTGGGGGAAGGGGAGATCACCTCTGAAGACACTAAGTGCCAAGATCACCTTTAATTATAACAACCAGTCTGTGGAGCTGCCCGAAGCCCATTCATGGCATTGAGGAAAACAGGAGGGGTTCAGAGCAAATTACCTCCAAGTTCCATCCTCCTAGAAAGGGGGAGGGCTGGTTCGCCTATGTTCCCACACCCTAATAGCCTGCCAAGGTCCCTCCAACTGGCATTGTTTTTTTGTCCCTGCTACTCCATGTTCCCATCTCTAGAGAGGGTTCTGTCTTTACCACTCAGGGCCCAAAACTGCAACAAGAACAGCCATACCCCGAATATACTGCCAGTTGTAAAAGACTCAGCCAGGAACTTTAGAGTGTGGGATACAGGGAGGTTCAGAACAAAAATGATCCTCAGTCTTTCCTGTCCAATAAAGCCCAGTGCTCTTTAAGCATTCCTGCTCTGTCCCTGGTACAGCTGCTTGAGGTAAGAATCTACTTGGCCTCAAGTGGATAGAAAAATCCAGGCCAAGTTTCACCTCTGTTGATTAAGAAAGTCTTTCCTAATGCCAGATTGTGCAGGCTCCCCGGGTCTGCCTGTCACACAGGAATAAAGATGAGAAGAATGTGACTTGGATTTCTGTGTCCACTGGGAGCTGACCATGTGGATAGCAACAGCATCCAACCACCTGTTCATCACTCCCATCTAACGCCTGGCTTAGCAATAATGTGGCCTATCGGCCTTTAGCACTGTTAAAAACACTGTCATGGTAAACTGGGCCATACCACTTTCTCTTTTCCTCTCAGTCTGTTTGCAAAGTATCTTTGTTATAGAGCTAGGGTTATTTATTTTTTAAAAGCTTTGATCTGGTTTTCTTATAAAACAAACAAAACAGATCAAAAAACATTCCCAGCCGCTCTGCATTTACAATCAACCCCAGAATAATAAAACTGTGTGTTGGTGCAGCAGAATAAAAAAAAAACACTGGTAAGAATTAGGAAACAAGAAAAAGTTCTCCCATAGGAGTCAAGAAGATTATTACAAAGAGCAGTGAATTCAAGAACTGATTTTAAATTAATGGACTAATACCATTTGCAGCATCTGTCCAAGTCTGATCCTGCCAAAAATGATCACTAGAGTACATCTCTCTGCATGACCTCCTAACTATGACCTTACCCCTTTATAGCATTGTTTGCCAAGTGAGATTGTTCACATGTGACTATTTTTCCAGAGCATAGGAATTGGCACAATATGCAAGCATATCACCGGTCCTAATGGACATTTCTGGAATCCGTGTATTAAAAAGAGAGATGGGGAGGGGGGGAGTGAATGCCTCTGTAATCTCCAGTGCAATAAACTGTAATAGGAACAATCCCATTTCAGAAATCTTGCACAGACCCAAGACCCTCTCTTACCTGTGCTCTAACTTTTTGCGGCTAATACACATAGCCCTCTGGTAGCCCTGGGCAATGCAAACTTTGTGCCGGCTACACTTCACTTTCTGGCAGGGGTCCTTGGTTGTGTCCAAAGCTGAAGACAGAAAAAGAAAGTGAATAGCTAGTATACCAAACAGCCCTTATCTCACTTACCAGTTCCGCTATGGTTGCTATCCACCCTGAATGAGGCAGGAGAGTCTCAATGAGGACTGCCTCAACGTAGGTCTTGTGTCTTAATATTCATTTTAGGAAGGCACACAACACAGACTCTCCAAATGATCTCTGTTAAGTCATTTCACATTTACTTTTGTGTACTCCTTCAAATCCATCTTTAAAACTCTCCTTTGCTATGATGACAAAAGCCTTGACAATAGTTAGGCAGCTGTTCTCAGACCTCTGCCTATCATGCTGATCAATACTGTCTCATTGTTTTCTTGTATTCCCCCAATTGTCTGTCTGTCTGTATCTATCTGTTCTTTCTTGTCTTGTACTTGGATTGTAAATTCTTTGTGGCAGGGACCCTCTTTTTGTTCTGTGTTTGTACAGTGCCTAGGGTGAGTTAACATTTAGAAGGTGCTAAGTATAACTAACAACATAGAGAGATAGTGTCAACAAAACGACATGTATTTATTTGCTCACATTCTGAATTGCGAAAAATATCAGCTCACTGGGGTCCTATCTATAGAATAGCAAGAAGTCAGCTTGTCAAGAACAGCATTAGTCACTGATGAGCTGCTTTATTGCTGGGGCAGCACTCAGAGGGATTCAGCTTGAGTCACTGCAGCCCCATGCTCAGGCAGATTAAAGACCAGGAGCCCGACCTTTCCAAATCAGGACGTGATGGATAACACAATAAAAGCTAACTAAGCACAAAATCACAAACTCGTTGATGTCTGTTACAGACCAAACAAATCTAGTAGGGAACAGAATGACCAGCTCCTTATGCACCTAACTATAATGTGTAGGAAAAAGATCTGCATGATTTCAACTGAGTGACATATGCTAGAGATCTCATGCTGACAGTACTAAAACATTCTTGGTATTTTTAAATATTATAGATGACAGCTTCCTAACTCAGAAAGTGTTGCATCCAACACAGGGGAATTCTATATTAGATCTCGTCTTCACAGATAAAGAGGACCTTATCACAGAACTAAAAATTAATGGTAGCTTAGATACAAGTGATCATGACTTGATCACATTTATAACGTGCAAACAGAATAATGTCCAGACCAGTATTATATATACTTTGTGCTTTAAAGGAGCCAATTTTACAAAGTTGAAATGATTATGCACCAAATCAGCCAGGGGAAAGAATTTAATTAGACAATGTGAATGATCATTGGGAATTGTTTAAGGATACTTTACTAGATGCCCAAAAATCCACTATCAAGCAAGAAGGCCATATTGGTTCAAAAACCAACTTAGTTTAGAGGGAAAGAGAAGGCAGCTATAAAAAATTAAAAAATAATATATAACAAATGGAAGAAAGGGGAATTTGGTAGCAATAATCATAAATCAAAAGCTAGGAGAAAACTGATAAGGAAAGCAAAAAGACACGAGGCGAAATCTATGGCCAGCATAGTTAAGGAGAATAAGAAGTTTATTTAAATATATTAGGAACAAAAAGAATTTTAACAGTGGTCAATTACTACCGGTAGATAGAAATGGTAGAATTATCAATAATAATGCAGATAGGCAGAAGTGTTCAACAACTATTACTGTTCTGTATTTGGGAAAAAACAGATGACACAGTCATATCAAATGATGATAACTCTCTTTCTATTCTACTAGCATCTTAGGATAATGTTAAATAGCAGCTACTAAATTTAGACATTTTTAAATCAGCAGGTCCAGATAACTTGCATTCAAGAGTTTTACAAGATCTGGCTCAGGAGCTCACTGGACCATTAATGTTGATTTTCAATAAGCTTTGTAGCACTGAGGAATTCCAAAAGACTGGAAGAAAGCTAAAGTTGTGCCAATATTTAAAAAGGGTAAATGGGATGACCTGGGTAATTATAGGCCAGTCAGTCTGACATCATTTCTGGGCAAGATAATGGAGTGGCTGATATGGGACACAATTAGTAAAGAATTAAAGAAGGGTAATATAATTAATGCCCTTAACCTGGGTTTATGGAAAATAGATCCTATCAAACTAACTAGATTTTTTTTATTAGATTACAAATTTGTCTGATAAAGGTAACAGTGTTGATGTAATATACTTGGACTTCTGTTAGGCATTTGACTTGATACTGCACAACCTTTTGATTTTATTTTTTTAATCATATAAAATTAACATGGCACACATTAAATGGATTAAAAGCTGGCTAACTGACAGGTATCAAAATATAACTGTAAACAGGGAATCATCATGGGGGGGCTTAGTGCAGTCCCCCCAAGGATCTGTTCTTGGACCTATGTTATTTTACATTTTTATCAGTGACCTGGGACATAAAATCATCACTGATAAAGTTTGCAGATGACACAAAAATTGGGGGAGTGGTAAATAATGAAGAAAGCAGTTAACTGACAGAGCAATTGGAATTTCTTGGTAAGCTGGGTGCAAACAATGTGTGTTTTAATACAGCTAAATGTAAATGTATACAACTAGGAACAAAGAATGTAGGCCATACTTATAGGATGGGGGACTCTAACTAGGGAAGCAGTGACTCTGAAAAAGATCGGGGGTTGTGGTGGATAATCAGCCCGACATGGTCTCTCAGTGTGACCCTGTGGCAAAAGGCACTAATGCGATCCTTGGATGCATAAACATCCAAACTGAATAGGAGTAGAGAGGTTATTTTACCTCTGTATTTGGCACTTGTGCTAGTGCTGCTGCAATATTAAATCTAGTTCTGGTGCCCGCAATTCCAGAAGGATGTTGATAAATTGGAGAGGGTTCAGAGAAGAGCCATGAGAATGGTTAAAGGATTAAAATACGTGTCTTAAAGTGACAGACTCAAGGAGCTCTATTTATTTTAACAAAGAGAAGGGTAAGGGGTGACTTGATGACAGTCTAAGTACCTAAATGGAGAACAAATATTTGATCATGGGCTCTTCAATCTAGCAGAGAAACGTGTAACACAATCCAATGGCTGGAAGTTGAAGCTCGACAAATTCAGACTGGAAATAAGGTGTACATTTTTAACAGTGATGGTAATTAACCACTGGAACAATTTACCAAGGGTCATGGTGGATTCTCCATCACTGGCGATTTTTAAATCAACAATGTATGTTTTTCTAAAAGATCTGCTCTAGGAGTTCTTTTGGGGAAGTTCTGTGGCCTGTGTTATACAGGAAGTGAGACTAGAGGATCACAGCAGTGGCCTTGGAATCTATAAATCTATAAATGAGGTAAAACTAATTTCTGCCATGCTTCTTCTGTCCCTCCAGTTTGATAAAACTGCACTTTGGGGGCCAATTCAAGCACTGCAAAGAAACAAGCGTAAGATTTTTTAATGCTTCACATGCTGGGTCTCAGATGTTGTCCAACCCTCTGTGAACACGATCTCCCACTGCCTAGAGAACCTCCTCATGGACAGATGACCAGCTACAGCAGGCAGCACTGGCTGCGATCTAGAGCTGCTATCAAACTGCTCCTGACACCAACAGATGCCTTGTGTTTCACAGCCCTTCACAAGTGAGTGTAGACGGTGTTGCATAATAGCACACAGCAGACCCAGCCCTGGCTGAAGGGAAATCCAGCATTAGGCACAGCAACAGGGCAACGGTACACCTCTAGCAGGATGGGCCAGTATCCCGCAGCCAATGCAGGGATCATGTCCAAATGGAAACAACATTCAGGTACCTGTTAGGAGTACAGTAAAACTGTGCAGAGGGGTGGGGGACAGGAGGATCAACACTCAAAGAGTATCATTTATTTAAAGGGCAGTGGATGCCTCATAGCAAATCCTGAAATACATCCTATTCTGATTCAGTTTAGCCTACTTGTCATATTTCCTGAGTGGGTTTCTTCATTCATTTGTATGATTAGCGATAGCTTCATAAAGATAGGATCATTGCTTCTTCAAGTACATTCCCCCTGAACCTGAAACAAGAATCGTCCATGACTTCACAACCCTAGCCTGTTTCCAGAGCAATTAATTGTGGAGTCAAAATAAGGAGCCTGACTTCAACTGGAGAATCAGCAACAGGAGCAGATGAAAACAAAACAACAGCGCCTAGCATTTATATAGTGTCTTTACAAAAGTTGCCAAAGGAGATCATTTAACTCTACACTGAAGTATAGTAAACACAGGGCTGGATCACAACTGCAGCAGCACGCAGCATCCCTACCCAAACCTTCAGCATCTAAGTGAAGAATACTGTATCATGCTGAATCTGCAGGGAAAATGCAGGTGGAATTTACTCAAGCTGGAATTTAGCCAGGACATGGACTCTTACTAAAGTGGAATGAGATCTTTAATGACCACAGTGGTCAAGACCTCAGTTTAAATCTCATCCAACAGAGGGCACCTCCATTGTCCCTTCACTGGCTGGTGGGGCTCAGAGGGAAGAGCCGCACCCACTGAATTGGCAGCCCCACTTCCTGGGTTTCCTCGGGCGTACAAAGGTTCTGTTTCCACACAAGAATCAAGTAATTGGTGCAGAACACGTCTCAGAAAGGGCTTCAGTTCAGAGCCACAGGACTTTCTATAAGGACCTTTCAAGGAAAAGTCAGCAGCTCCTTAATAAGTGTGCACAACCAAGAAATAAAGTTACCTTCATCAACTGGCTGATTATCTTCCCAGCTCTTGATATAGTCATCCTAGTGAAGGAAGAGAGAACATCTTAGTCAACAGAACATGCCAAATATCAAAATCCAAATGCTCAGAACGATGAGCCTGATCAATGTTTAGAGGTAACACTGGCCCGGGGATGTAACAATGATGCCTTCCTCATGGCTAGGACTCTAGCAGAGGGCCACACATATGGTTACAAAGACAATGCAAAGATTCATACTGTGTTTATTTATTCTGTGTTCTGCATTGCTGGTGAGGGGAATTTGGTCCTCTTGGAAACAGAAAGGTCTAGTTCTCTCTCTCTCTCTCACACACACACACACACAGCTCTGCTCACATTCCTGACCTGTAACATACAAAACCTTGTTTGCCTCACACACAGAGCTCTGCAGATCCACTGCTCAAGAGTAAGATTTTCATACATTCCAGTATCCAGCCTGCTCACACAACTGCGCAGATGGGCAATGCAGAGGGATGGCAGGATGTGCATGCTTGTGCCCTCACACCAAAGTCCAGCTGCTAAATCTAATTCCAGGATTGTACTTGCCTTGGCCGTTGGTGTGTTCATTTAATGGCAAACCCCACAAATAGGAAAACTGAAGAACATAAATCCTTGCCTCACTGCAGAGAGGTGCAAATCTTGCTCCATCACATGAGAGGCAGAAGCAGTCTGATGCCCTAACCTCAAACTGGGGTTAATGGTCTCCAGGCATCTGTGAAGACCTGCAGGGTATCTGCATTTTCCCAATTCACCTGGTGCATTTACACAAACATATTCAACAGGGGGAGTCTACAGTTTAGAACCTCAGGGACTTACTGCCCTAACCTCCTTCGTGCAGGGACCTCCATACACTCATAGTAATACATTGCTTGCTGCCCCAGCGTCATTGCACTGTAAAGGGCCATCAGGTCATGGCTTGGAAGTGGCAGGAAAAGTTATCAGATGCTGGCACAGCTGTTAGAATGTCAGCATGCTGCTTGGCTGGATCCTATCCCGTTTCTTAAGGTGCTGAATCAGTTACAATTCTTGGGAAGAAAAAACACAAGTCCTTTGTCTCTGACTCCCTCATCCTGAAAAGGGATTGATCATTTATGAAGGCTCAGCACTTGAGGTCCCTCACTGCTTCTCCACGCTCCCCAGCCCATCCATGACAGTGGCCTCTGTCCACACCAAGCAAATGGGCAGTAGAATCTTTCCACAGATTTCCAGGGAAAAGCAACACTACTATTAAGGTGAGGAAATGGAGAATAAAGGATAAAAGTCAGATGTGCAATAAAAATAAGAAAATGAAAGGAATAATACCAGACCCAATGGGTCTAAAGTTCATGTTTTGTGGGGGGGCGAAGCTAAGGTGCAGAGAGATCAAGTAACTTGCCTAGTGACACACAGCAAGTCAGAAGATCTGGGAATAGAACCCAGGAGTCCTGACCAGGGGCACTGCCTGGGGTCTCAAGCGGGAGGGTGGGGACGGGCCTTACCTTACCAGATTTGATCCTGAGCCTCAAAGTTAAATTGCTGGGCAGGATGGATGCTTTTCTGTGCCAACCCCCTAATGAGCACCAGTGCCTTCTGGTGGCTTGACTTGGCCCTTCACTCTGGCCAGACACCAGGGACTGAGCCAGCCTGGTCCTGCCTCGCACCACCTCAGGCGTTACTAGGAAGTTCCGGCAGAGTTCAGGCTTCTGGTGAGGTCTGCACAGGCTGCACAGTAAAAAAGGCCTGTCAGTGGCAACACTGTTGCCCAGGCCACCACCATCCCTCCCAGGACCAGCACCCTCAGAGCCAGCTCTTTGGTATCCCTCTCCCACACAGGCAGTGTATGGGGAGCCCCAGAGAGGCAGTGCCATTCCTGACTGCTGGCAGCAGTACCAGCCCAAGCTCCTGCGCCGCTGCCATTCTCTGTGGGCAGGGGGCAATGACCTGCTGGCTGAGTACCGCACTACCTCTGAGGCCTCAGCAGTACTACCAGCTGGGGGACAACATTTTACCTAATGTGTCAGGACTGGGGAGGCTTTGCCCCTCTCTACCCCCTGCCTTGTGGTGCCCCTTATCCTGACTTGCAGTCCCCTGCTCTAACCACCCTTCCTCCCCCTGCTGTGCAAAGGTTAAACCTCTCAATCCTTCCCTTGTTTGTTGAGAGTCTCCAGATTTGGAAAGTTACCAACAATTAACAGCCCCACCACAACCACTGGAGCTGTTCTCCTTTAACAGGGTAGTCAATAGGTGGACCATGGGCCAAATCCAGATCCCCAGCTGCTTTTGAACAGACTGCAAAAATCTTTTTATTTATTATCATTATTGTTATTATTTTTGTATTATTTTCCCTGGAGCCTGGATTTTGACTATACCTTGACCAAGAAATGTGGACCTTGACAAAAAATAATTGATTACCCCGGCCTTTAATATGTTATATACACAGAATCAAACACAGAGAATACAAACAAAAATGCGAGGGGAGGGTTTCACAGTAAATGAATCCAGGCCCTGGAAGAGAGTACGGGTGTGCATCTCATTTGTAATGTCAGCACTAGAATGGGTTTCTCCTTGCAGGTCTCTTTTCTTTGTCAACCATGAACGAACATTCTTGTAAGACTCTCTGAAGTGCCCTGATGGCCTGTGTTAATTTACAGCAGATCACACACTCCACACCCTTTGAACAACAGTGTTGTTGACTGTCCCCTCCAGTAAGGAAATTCAGCCTCTGGTACTAGGGACTCACTACCGTGTAGAATGCTCTTCCTTAAGCTGTCTGGGCTTATTTAGATTATTAACTCTTGGAGGCAGGAACAGGGTCTTCCTAGACTTTTATACAGTGCTGAGCACTGTCGATGCTTAACATGTAACGACAATCCTCTCTGATAGACGCTGGTTCAATGCCATCACTGGTGCCCTCTATCTTGTGGCAGGGCCGCCCAGAGGATTCAGGGGGCCTGACGCATAAAAAAAAGGCGCCACCCGCTGCGGCACTTGTACTCACCGGGCGGCACTCCGAGTTATTGGCGGCACTTCGGCGGCGGGTCCCTTCACTTGCTCCAGGTCTTCGGCGGCACTGAAGGACCCGCCGCTGAAGTGCCGCCGAAGACCCGGAGCGAGTCGAGGGCCCGCCGCTGAAGACGCGGAGCGCCGCCGGGTGAGTAAAGATTAAAAAGGCGCCTCTACCCAGGGAAGGGATTCTTGGCCAGGGCTCGCGGGGCCCCTGCGGGGTCCGGGGCAAATTGTCCCACTTGCCCCCCCTCTGGGCGGCCCTGTGGCGATGATTATATATACAGTTTCTCAGGATGAAATTCACCCTGCGCAGAGGGCCAGCACCAGGCTCGTGCATCATTTCATTCCCACTTAAGTGGCCCTCTGCCTGGGGGTCAATATGAATATGTGCGTATGTATAGGCACACACTCACATATACGCATGCAACCACATACATAGAGCCCTGTGCACATACAAAATTTGGATCTGCATCCATCCATGATCCACAAAAATGGTCCACAGATATCCGCAGATTTGCAGGGCTCTACACAGACACACACTCATCCTGGCCATACTTCATGCAATGTGCAGCTGTTCAAATCAACTCAAAATATTCTCCTGATAAACTAAAACTAGAGGGAGGGAGCTGGGGTGGAGAACACAGGGAACATGACACAGATGCCCTGTAAAGATTAAATGAAACCAGATTCAAAAATCGATACTAACCTCCACCTCCTGGGAATTCAGCCCACAGCAGAAGAGTAGGCGAAAAAACAAAAGGAGAGAGAAAAGAGAACACACATGAAATATACCGACACTGCCAGAGCTCAGGCTGCAAGAAAGGGCTGGGTTTGTGATCACACAGACAGTATTTCTTTGTTTAGATTCCCTGAAATGTCATAATTCATTTCCTCCAAGTGATGTGTTTTTATAAAGACTCCCCCAATGCATCTTTTCTTGCTTTCCTAATTTGCATTTATTAAGTCGTACTTCTGTCACAATGGCAACAATGGAATTTGATTGCAAGGAACAAAAATTAAGGCAAAGGCTGATAATTCAGGCTTTGTGCAAGCTGCAGCACTGCTCCCAACACTTCTTGGTTAGCCCTGGGACAGAAACAATGATGTTTCAGCAGATGGATGTAATGTTTCATACAGCAGAGTTCACAATAATACAAGTACCTTTCTATTGTTCTGCAGTCTTTCTGCAATAAAATAACGTTAAACAAACAAAAAAGGCATATTTGCAGACAATGAAATCCTGACTGCTCTCCTGTTATGACAGCTCCCTTCTCATACACCCAGGAAGGGATATTTTAGAGCATAGGGGAGAGGGACAGTATCATTAGGAGGCTTGGCAGTGACCAATATTCTATTGCAAGAGGCTTCTTTACTGATTTAAGCCAAATTAGTGCTGTCACAGGATGTTATTTGGCTCCTGGTAAAATGGATGTCCCTGCACCTTTGGTCCCAGCTGTTCTCTTTAGCGCACCATCCACAGCTCCAGTGTTAATCTTCCATTCTGACACGTCCAAGAGCCCTGGGGGCTGATATCAGCCATACCACATGTCCTATCAGCAGCTGCAGCTCAGCTCAGGAGAAGAGCTGGCTCCTATGCAGGCTTCACATTTATCCCAAATGGGAAGAAAGCCAAGAGAAATCCTATATTTCTACAAAATGGATTTGGGGGATGCCACCCTCTCGTAGAGCCTCCAAGCAAGGGGCTGATGCTAGAGAAGCTCTTGCTAATGCACTTGGACAGGGCTGAGGAAAATGAGGCTGTGATAAGACATGGGGTCCTATGCAACTCCAGCCTTTGAAGGTCACAGATTGGTAACAACATATTTCCTAGATGCAACTATCTGCCAGCAATTTGTAAGGGAGGGATTAGGTATAGTCTTTAGCTCAGCCCGTCTCTGGGACACCTACATCCCTAGTGAACCATGAATCCACCATACAGGGACATCACATATGGACTTCCTGAGCTGCCCTGGTGTTGTATGATACAGTTGGGTCCTTTAAGAATATTGCAGCTGTCAGGAGCATGCTATCACCCGGGGTTTCTCATTACTGTTTCAAAGCCCAGATCCAGGGGTTTTGCCAGGCAAACTGGCAAACGTCTATCCCTGCCAATCCACAGTCACCCACACAGTCTTCAAGTGTTTCACTGCCTCATACATGGTGCTCCCTTAAATGACTAGCTGTCTGGTAGGGTCAGCCCTGCTATTTCCTCCGCCGCTTGGCCGCTTGCAGAGACGAATATATTGTGGTCAGACCTGGCAGAACCCAATATCAAATTCAGGAGCTACACGAGTCAACTCCGTGCAGTGCAAGGCCATCACATACCTGCACTACATACCTTTAAAACTGTTTTTTTTTTAAATCCTCATTCCCTCCAGCCATTCTGCTAGTAAAATATTTGCATCTTAACACTGGCTTCATTTTCTCTCTCAATAGTTTAAATGAGACTACTAGAGTGACCTCTGTGTCTCTAATAAACACACACCTGTGCACATGCACACACACACTTTGCTATAATTGAACATGTACATACACAGAGATGCAGGCACTATCTGTCCCAGTTTCCTTTCCCTTGTCTTGCTAAAAAGACCCAGGCTGTTTGTTCTGATAGCTCAGACAATGCATAGTTTCTCAGTACAGAACCCCAACCTTTCTGGAAAACAGAACTTTATTTTCTGAAAGGTTCAAAAAGGAGCAAACAAAAAAGGACCCCTTTAAGGGAGATCAGCATGGGCAGAGGGGTCCCAGGCTGGGTCCCAAATCCAGTAAGGTTTTTAAATAGCACTTTATCTGTCTAGTGAGAATAGCAGCAGGCATACAATTACAGGACACCTCCTAACAGGAAACCTGCCCCTTTGTTCAGTCTCTAAAAGAACCATCCATCTCTCCACTTTCCTGCTTGGGGGACTCTCTTCCAAGCCTGCAAGCATCTCTTCAATGACTCTTCTTCCTTTCCCAGTGTTTTTTTTATCTTCCTCGCCAAGCCTCAAACCACTTCTTCCTCCTCCTCCTGATGCTGGCAGGTTTCCGCACAGCTGGAGCCTTGGACTAAGAGAGCTGGATTGACGCAGCCATGCTGCGATAGGCTCAAAGGCATTGTGTGTCCCATCTGCCAACGGCGCTCTTTGTGGGGATGGCAATACAGAGCAGAGGCAGGACAAAACCAATGTCTTTTCTACTGAACACACTCAGGACTTCCAACCCTTTCCACTCCCACTGCGAGCATGTTCAATGACCCCAATCCGCCGAGCACACAAAGCATAACAAACAGTGCCCCTCTCACCAAAGGAAACGGCACATCATCAGACATGGCACACTGCCACCCTGCAGGAGCTCTGCCAAGCTAGCAAATGGACTTCTTTGAGAAGCTGGTGGCTTGCTGCATTGTGGAGCCAGCTGCCCTCTCAGGGTCACTCGCTGAGGTGGGACTGGAAATGGCTCTCGGAAAGGCTGAATCAGCGGGAGCCTTTTTGGAAAGATAGTGTGTCTCGGAGCCAGTATTGATCAGTGCCCTCACTGGCACAAGATGCAGTCAAGGGCAGGCTGAGTGCCATCTGCAGCACAGCAATGGCTGCAGTGCTGCCAGGGTGACATGCTGCAGAGGCCAGCTTCATGGCTGCTGTGACAGTGCAGCATGTTATCATGGGGGAGACATGGGATAAACCCTCTCAAAGCACCCTCTGAATCACCAACAACCGTGGGAACACACCACAGATGTAAGAGGACCAGGGCACAGGCCCAGAAAGTATCCAACTGCTGCATGCAGCCTGACACAAACATTTTCCTATATTGGGGGAGGGAGCGTCACCGCCCTCTGAAGCATCAGGCATTGGCTTCTGCCAGAGAAAGGGGATGGGCCTTGATGGGCCAGTAGTCTGTGCGCATGTGTAATAAACTAATCAATGGTGGTTCATTAACACCCCACGCACATCTTCTGGTAATTGTTCTGTACCAGGCTTATTAGTAAATTGTCAGAAAGAGAAAATGGATAACTCGTGATTTAATAGCAGAGAAGGGAAAAGAGCCCTCACCCAGCTAGATGGGGTGAGCTGGAGAAAGGGAAGGGAGAACTCACTGTCAGCTGGATGGGATGGGAAAGAAATGGTCACTCTCTAGTGCCTGAAAAGGAAGGGGAGGGAGATCTCACACATTCCTGAAGTATCCCTGAGGCTGACACTGTCAGGGGGACAAGAACTTTTCCCTGTGAACATTAAACAACAAACACAGACTTGTCCAGTGCATCTCACAGCTCCCTGCACTTACACCCATTTTACACAGGTGTAATTTCACACGTGGATTTCAATGGAGTTGGCCCCAATTTATTCCAACACACAAGAGAAGAATCTGGGCTCTTGACCACTTTCCTCTCCTCTCCCTCCCCCCGTATAGCCTCCACCTACTCCCTGTCCCCTCCATACAATCCGGACAGTGTTGGTGCCAGTGTCTTCTCCTCTTCAGCTCCAGCTGTTGGGACTGGCCTCCTGTAATTCCACCTGTCCTTGACTCTCCTTCTTCATCTGGCTGTGAAATCCTGCATCTAATGTCTCTCTCTCCTACCTCAGAATCTCTCTCCCTTTGCTATTGGCAATTATGCCTCTCTGCAGCTTTGTTATTTAACTCTGCAGACTGCTTTAGGAAGCATTCTGCATGGAAGATGCTATACACAATAAAGCAATAACGTACTATGTGCACGTTGGAAAGTCCCCAAAACCAAGTCTCTTTCAAATGCCATCAGTAAGCTCATGGCTGCAGGGGATTTAATCAGTCCCTGCCTAGTTCTTGTGGAGGTTTATTTTCAGATTGTACAAGATTATTTAAATAAAACCTGTGAGCCAGCACTTTTGTTTGTGTCACATTCTATGGTTGGGAATGGGGGGGGAGGATTGTTGACAGTGTAGGTCACTCGAGACAGCAGCTCCCTCAGGAGCTGAAAGCACAGAAAAGAGACTTTGCCTGATCTTGTGCTACGGAAGGGAAGTTTGGCACCAGAACAAAGGCCACGGAGAGGATGCCGGAAATGCTCGCTGCCTCCTCCAATCCGGAAGCCTCACATTCAGGACCTCAGAAGAGTTAAAAAAAATATATATTTCTCCACAGGGCAAAATTTAAAATAAAGCCCCTTGATTTGTTATTACATAGCAAAACATCAAATGCTTCTAATGCTCCCCTACTGTAAACAAAAAGAGTTTGAGAAAATGATGTCCCATTTCAGAGAGTGGGGAGCAAACTACTCTATCACAATAAGAGCTAGAGGAGAAGAGAGGAAATAAAAACAGGAAAGTAGAGAAGATAAATGATGAATGGGAGAAGACCAGAAGAGAGGAGAGAAATAAGCAGAATAAAATATTCCCTCACTGGGTGTGGGCTCTCTCTTGCCAATGGATCTATCACATCCTGTCATGCCCAGGGCAACATAGATATTGTTCTAGATGTATCATCAATGACATCATATCCAGCTGTGCGCATTTGGTACACCACAGCTGCCATTTATGTATGCTAGCTTCCGGAGACAGACAGACTTTGTAGGGGCACAGGCCAATTATCTACATGTGTTAGACACAGAAATCCACTCATTACCCCTCACTGCCCCATTATTTATCCTCACTCCACAAGTGGCAGGTGGAGGGATATCCCTTCAGTAGCTGTTTTGCTGGGCATTTTCTTGGTGACACTGGTCAGAGTAGAAACAACAGTTACCCATCCAACTTGGGATAA